GCAGAAAAAACAATGGAATCTTGAAATTTGCAGGAAAATGGAGGGATATAGAAGAAACCATTCTGAGCGAGGTAACCCTATCACAAAAAGGCAAACATGATATGTACTCACTCATATGTGGATTTTAGACATATAGTAAGGGATTACCATCCTACAATCCACACTGCCAGAGAAACTAGTAAACAAGGAAAACCCTAAAAGAGACAAACTTTGTCCCCTGGAGAAGGGGAAAGGGTCACCATCCCCTGAGCAAATTGAGAACATGGGAAGAGGGGGGAGGAAGCTACGAGAGTGAGAAGGGAAGAAAAGGAAGGATGCAGAGGTCATGAGGAAGCAGAAATTCTGAGTCAGGTGTAGATTAGAAGAAAGGACATATGATGGGTAGGATTTTAGTTGGGGGGGTGGTAGAGGAGGAAGGGAGGGAGAAGGGAACTGGGATCGTCATGTAATTCAATCTTGTTTGTAATTCAAATATATAAAAAATTTAAAAATGTCTTAAAAAAAGAACACTTCAATGTCTGCAGGCGTTGATGTGGGGAGAGTGGGCTGCTAGGGTACACACAGCTTGTACAAGATAGAGACTTACATGTGTTTTTTACTCTTTTGGCTTTCCCAGGGGCCCACCACCCAGGGCCCAAATAAATCACAGAATGAGTCTTGTTACTTTTGAATGTGGGGCTTTAGCTTGGCTTGTTGCTAGCCAGCTTTTTTTTGGGGGGTGGGGGGTGGGGGGTGGGAAGAGGAGTTAGAAACAGGGTTTCTCTGTGTAGCATTGGAGCCTATCCTGGCACTCGCACTGGAGACCAGGCTGGCCTTGAACTCACAGAGATCTGCCTGCCTCTGCCTCCAGAGTGCTGGGATTAAAAGCGTGCACCACCAACGCCCCGCTAGCCAGACTTTCTTACCTTAACCTGTCTACCTTTTACCTTTGGACTTTATCTTTCTTCTGTATATCTTACTTTACTTCTTTCTCTATGGGGGTGGCTGGGTGGCTGGCCCCTGCAGTCCTCCTCTCCTTGTTCTCTTGCTGCTCCTATCCCTCCTTGTTTCTCCTTTTATTTATACTGTCTACCTGCCAATCCCACCTATCCTTGCTCCTGCCTTGCTATTGGGCAGCCATTTGGCTCTTTATTAGACCATCAGGTATTTTAGACAGACAAAGAATCACAGCTTCACAGAGTTAAACAAATGCAGCATAAGCAAGTCACAAACCTTAAGAAAATATTCTACCACAAACATGTTAGAGACTTTTTTTTTTTACTTTATTGCTCTCTCAACCATAGTGAGTATAAACTTTAAACGTAATTGTTAACCATCACAGACCTTATTTCTTAAGTTCATCTTTTACTCAAAGTAATCGTGGGCTGTTTTTCCTACCTCCCTTGACTCCTCCACACAAAATGACTACAGAATTCTAAACAGATAAAAATTTTAGAGAGGGACTAGGAGGTAGATTCCCTGATAGGCAGAAAGGAAGTAAGGACATGGCTACATAATAAAGACAGCAAACTTCCAAAAGGCTATTTTCATTTTCACCCTCCTGACCCAAGACAAAAAGCTGGCAGCTTAAAGCAAGGGGCTAGTGGCCTTTTTCTCTTACGGTCAGAGCCGAAGTTACATTTTAAGTTTTAACTACCATGCCTTAGACATCCATATAACAGAAAGATGCCTCTGATCTCCAAGCAAGCCACCTGCCCACCGACAGATAGTGCCTGAAATGCTAGAGGCTATTGTTTATGGGAGATAACAAGCCACATGTTTCTACTACCTAAACAAGTTTGACCCATGGCACTGGATGTGCTTGACCAAGTGTGGGTTTATGGGAAGGACATATTCAGGATGGATGCTTGCCCCTGATTGGAACTGATAGGAAATACTTAAGCCACAGCAAACAGTGCAAACAGTGGCCATTTTTCTGGAAAACCAGGGATGAACGTGATGGCCAGAAACCATTCACCTGGCTGGTATTTAATTAAAGCTTGCTTCAAATTTGTTTTCAATTATCATAGTGGTCTTATTCTCCACTGGTGGGATTCACACTGTCCTTAGGCACCCCTGCTGATGAACTTGCTCAACAAGTTCAAAACCTGCTCAGGCCTTGTTTACAAAGCAGCTATGGGCCAATCAGTCCTCTTTGTCTGTCTTCAAACTGAACCCTTAATTAGGGCAGGACTACTCTTCAAAGACTTAAAAAACCCAGCCCTTGAGAAGAGAGTGGGGTTTTGGCTTCCTGAGCACCGCCCTCCACTCCATGCTTTTTGGAGGATCTTTTCCTCTGTCTGCTCCAACCTTGTGTTTTTCTTACTCCCAGTAACAGCCCCTCTTCAAATGCCCATGCTGTCTGCTGTGTTTGAGCTTTCTCTATGGCTACTTCTCAAGCTTGAGATTTTTCCTGCCTCTTAATTCTTTAACTGGCATAGGAAATGAACCCCATCAAGACCCCTCGATGGTAACACTAGTCTGTAGCAATGGTAGAGACTTTACTCCATAAAGAGTAAGTTGTGCCCTTAACTAAAGACAGGCCATGCTTCATTTAAAAATAAAAGCCATAGCCAAGGATGTAGTTGAATTGGTAGAGGGCTTAGCTCTCCAAAAGGCCCTGGGTTCCACCCTCAGCACCCCAGAGATGGGGGAAACTGTTAGCTAGGGTGCAGTGAAACCATGCAACTAGATCCCTCTGTGGATAGGTAAAAGAAGGTCTATTGAAGAAGTCAGCTGATGGGTCTGTCTCTGAGTAATTGGAACAGCAAATGATGACAGAATGAGCCTTGCCAGTTTAAGGGCAAAGGTAGCAGCAGGGGCAGGCATGTGAGACAGAACAGCCTGGGAGGTAGAACAGGGCAGAGGGGCAAGGGAAACCTAAGAGCCTAGGAACTCGATGGGGACTTTGATCATTTACAGGCTCCTTTGCTTTAATCAGGAACTATGTGACCACTGAGGGGGCGGGTAAGAGAAGTAATTGCTTTTCCTGTCAAGCAAAATGCATGCTGGTCACAAGATTTCTAAGGAATGAGACCTTCAAGTTCTCCGAATCCACTAGCAATCTTTCTGTCTACCCAGCCAGAGTTCAGCCTTAGCTGAGATCAGAGTGTTGCTTGGAACATTGCCATAGCACTACCATTAGGCGGTCCACTTTGGACCTACCAAGAACAAGCCAAAAGTTAGATAGGTAAGTTTTTATTTGAGGTATTTGACTGTTGTTGTAGTCAATAATTGATGAGGTTTATATATGTTCCATTTACTTGACATCTGAGCAGTAACTGATTATTCTAGAAATATTAGAATTACAGGAACTAAACATTTTATGAGAAAATAGTTGCAACATTGTGACACCAGAAAAATTTTGAGTTTTTAAAATGAGTCTTCCTTTAGCAGAAAATCATGAATTCCTTTATTCATGGAAACCACTTAAAAGTTGTCAATACAAGTCTTATCAGGTGGGGTGTGGTGGTACAAGCCTTGGGGCAGAAGCAGGAGAATCTCTGTGAGTTCAAAGAGCCAGATCTATATAGCAAGGTCCAGGCTAGCCAGGGCTACATCCTGAGACCCTGTCCCCCAAAGCCCCCCCCCACAGTACCATTATAATATTATATTGAATTATATTACTTTAATATGTTATAAATGTATTATTAGTATGAAAAATATATAAGTAGATTTATATAACTATACTGATTTTCTAAAGAGAGAAAGAAACACATTTACTGTTTCCTTACTAATGACTATATTGAGTAATAATTAACACTAAGGTAAACAGGAGAATATTTTAAAGATTTTAAATAGATAGTATTTATAAAATAACATAGATCTTTTGTGTAAATTATAATTACATTTATATGTAATTTCATAGTAAATTACAATGATATTTAAATTTATATAAAATAAAAAATAAATCAGATTGCGAGCCAAAGCATTTTTCTTAGACAAGGTCATTTCTATGTGTAAAAATTCATATAATCTCTCACTAATTCACAGTGAACACTTTAGGGATGCATAAAAACAAATGCATGACAGAAGTACAGAAAGTAAACTATAATTTGAAAGCACAGCTGTACAACAGAAGTATAGGCTTCATAGGTTGATCGACATAGTTATTTCAGTACAGGAAAAAGCCATGTGTGTTCCTTTCAGATAGTGTCCATCAGAATGTCGTCCTTAAGTCTCTTGTGGAAGCTCAAGCAACTACTGCCATACTCCTGCTCTTTGGTCCTCGTTTCCAGTTCTTTCAAAAAACATGAAATCCTGAAGAAGAAGAAAAAAAACAGTAGAGTTTTCAACAACAAAACAGAGAACAATGCCCACATACAAAGGCAAGTTAAAAACTAAGCAGCATAAGAACAATGGGAAAACACTGCCTTCCCCTTCCCATTTTAATAGCAATCAATTCAACCCTTCTCCCTTGGCTCCGTTCGTTCAGTATCAGTCTCACTAACGTCCTCATAAATTAATTCTCCAGATGCCACTTTTTCATATCCCCCTTGAAATCATTTTTATCTTGCTTCTGTAACTTTTGCTAGTCCTTTCTAGGAATGGAATGTTTCTAGTGACAAGAGTTTGGCAACTCAGCTTTTGACTTGGGGCTGATGCAGCCTTCTTAGTCAGAAAGCATCACTGACGGAGTTCACTGGCCTTGGGCCAGCAGCTCTCCTATGAACAGGCTTACTGGCTCCCCAGACTGTTTTGCCCTATGAGGGTCAAACCTGACATTTCCTCTGTGATTTCTATCAAATCGTAGAGACTTTATTTCTTGGATCTCTTTTATTTCCCTCTCCCCTTCTAATCATTTGCTGATCGCTTGGCTTGAACAATTGCAGTGCCAATTCCTTTTAAGTCACCAGGATTTAGCCCAGAGCCACCAGGGTTTATCTTTGTAAAGTTGGATTTCTAAAAATTTTGTCTAATTTTAAATGAACAAGTTAATTAAATTCTTCAAGACCTACTTTGTGCCTAAAAAGCTGCCATCTTCCCCAAAGTACCAATTTTGTGCCTTAGAATAACTCTAAGCCCCAAGACCTTTGTCTTATGGGCAAACATGGCCTCCTCAATCAACTGGACTAGACTGTGTGTGTCAAGTGTCATGTTAAATAGAATTTCAGATCAAGTTGAACTGTGAGTACTGATATAAAAACATGTCCATTTCATAAGCCATTTTGGAATACACAATTTTGGAATACAAAATGATTTCAGAATGACACTAAGAAAGGCACTGATAAAGAGGATTAGCAGGAACACTTACTATGAGGAAACACGCTCCAAGCATCACAGCCTTCATCTTCACATCAAGGTCTAGCGGGAACTGGATCCCAAAGTTATCTGCATCTGTGAAGGCCTCTTTCACTAAACCAGACCACTGCTTGGAAATTTTGCCAACTACAGTTTCTTCATTTAAAGACTTGAGCTGCATAGCAAAAATAAAGTCATAAATATTTCTAAAAACTAAATGGCAAACATACTTTCAAAGTCACAATTCAATGAAACAAATATTGCATTAAATTACATAAACTGTTAAACACCAACATGTTTAAGTAGGTCCCTATAAGTATTAATTGTACACTGACAAGAATAACATTTTTGGTTTCTGCTGAGACAGAAAATATAAATTCTTATACTTAAGGCAAAACAAAAATTTCAATACCAAAAGTTTAATTCTTCACTGGTACTTTCTAGAACCATTGGGAAAATAATTACAACTACTGTTCAAATGCTGCTTCAAGAAACGTAGCTTTCTTGTAGTCTTGACAGTTGAAATGTGGTAGAGGCTCATTGCCACCCATGGGCAGTAGACCGTGGGGGACTCATGAAATGCAAAAGCCAGGAAAGACAAGCTGGTGGGTGGAAGGGACCAACAAGAAACTCCATGGAAGTTTCCTAGGGCAGAGATGGAGTAAGACTTTATAACTAGTGGGGTGTAAAGAATACAAGAAGGATAGTATATGAAACCAGATTTCCAATGTGGAAACCTTCTTATTTGGGGACTCTGTGGGAGCAAAGCGCAGGGCCCCATTTTACAGTAGAACAGGTAGGGCACAATCTAAAGCCACTCCACATAGGGCAAGTAGATGATCACCAAAGTTTGTACACATAAGCTTGAGCCAAAGGAGGAAGAGATAAATGTGTCCTTTCCAAACCTGCAAAAGGCATCAAAGGGGGGAACAGCCTCCTTTTAAAGCCCTTGCCTCAGACAGGATCCACCAAGTCAACATGGGGACATTCAGAGGTAGTCAACATCTTGGTGGCTGGAGGAGGATGGTACCTTAAATTTTCTGATTCTTACTTCTAATATGAATGAAATCACAAACTGTTGCTCATAGAATAGTACTTTCAGTCCACATCCACAGTAGGCATAGTATTCTTTCTCTTCCTTGAGAATTAGGTTTTATTATATGTCTAATTTGATGATAGGGTGTAGCACATGGCTTGAGTGTTTACCATGGCTAACTTGGTTGGCCTGGATGCTCATCAATGAGCAGTATCACCCATTGAGCTGCTGTGGGTACAGTCCTATGACTCACTTTCCTTGAGCAGATGGCAGGTTACTTCCTGATCCAAGATAGAGCCATAAATATGAGCTCCCATCAATGCACAGAAACTCAGCTGAACTAGAGGCCATGATGTAAACACGGTAATGTTGATTTGAAGTCATGAACCATTATAGTTGCATCAGATATGACATTTTGATAAGCTGGCCTAAAACAAATTCTCTTTTGTATTTTCTTAGCACTTTATGTGCAATAGCTGTCATAAGCATTTACAGTCAGCCATAAAGGCCCATAAAGACCAAGACTGATAAAGGACTGGAGATGCAAACAGTGTTTAGCAAAGTACAAAGTGGTTTACCATTCCTACATTCCTGTTCCCCTGTTTATTGTATCAATCAAGAAATCTAAATGTTTTATAAAAGACATTAATAAAGTAGAAAAATATGATAATACTTTATGATGAAAGTTATGGGAATGGGTGTCTCTCTGAGAAGATCTTATTCTTGATTAATCTTTCCCTTGAGAAAGTGAGAAGAAGGCTGCAGAGGTCATGTGGCTGCTTTAGGCCAATCATTTCTCAACCTGTGGGTCATGACCCCTATGGAGGTCCCATATTTATATTATGATTCATAATAGCAGCAAAATTATAGTTATGAGGTACCAGTGAAATAATTTCATGGTTGGGGGTCCATAATATGAGAAACCGTATTAAAGGGTCGCAGCATTGGGAAGGTTGAGAACCACTGGGCTAATGCATAAAATCTCTTGGTCATCCAGTGAGAGAGCAGAAGAGCAGGTTCTGACTGACATGTAAGATGTTTCATGTAAGGCCATGTAGAGCGTGTGCAGAAAGATGACTCACATCCAGGCAGGAGGGAGCAGGACAGCCTCAGGTTAATTCACACTACTAGAAGAGGATGCAATTTACATCTTATAGGCTATTATTTCTGGAACATTCCATTTTATATTTTCAGAGCCATTGTTCACTATGGGTAATGGAACCTGTGAAAAGTAACACCTTGAAAAGATGGGACTTTTAAACTAATCACATTGAAACTGTCATTAATAAGTTGTGGTCATTTGCATCTGGAGCCTCTGCATCCATGTAAGAAGGTGGCATATAGGCAGACAACTGTGTTCCACCTCTTCTAGGAAAAGTGTACACTGGGATCTTGGTTAGAAAAGATCTACAGAATACGGCATTTAAAATGCTTTAAGAGGCCAGGCAGTGGTGGCACCTTTAATCCCAGCACTCGGGAAGCAGAGGCAGGAGGATCTCAGTGAGTTTGAGACCAGCCTGTCTACAAGAGCTAGTCCCAGGACAGCCTCTAAAGCCACAGAGAAATCCTGTTTTGACCCCCCCCCCCCCCACAGCTGCCACACAAAAAAAAAAACAAAATGCTTTAAGAACTTAGACTTTTAGAACTTAGAACTTGATAGTGGGATATGTGTGCTCCTGGTAGTACCAATTACTTCAGAGAGGAAAGATGGGCATCAAAGAAACTCAATGTGGAGTTTGCCTTCAACATGGCAGGGTTAGCCATTTGGACAAGAAACTGCTTTTTCCTGATCTCCTTGACAGTCCTAACTGAACAAACAGGTTACAAAGAAAAGTGACTGCTGAATTTGCCAAGGGACAGCTGGTCCTTCAAGGTATCTGCTTCACAGAAAAGTTTGCCAGACACTTTGGGCCTATAGGCTGAAGAGGTCAGAGGAATTTTGGGTGACTGGACAGGCAGCAAGATGTCTCTGTCAAATTCTATAGTTTATATATTATCCTTCTGGGGTTTTGATGGAGTTGAAGATAGATAGTTATGGTTTTCTTTAGTTACGATAAAAGAGAAGTCACATATACAATTTTAAACTCACAAAGATAGGATAGATGATAGAATATTTTCTTTAAATTTTGCCAAAAGAGATTATGGGGGATGTTCTTCTGTATAATGTGAATATATGTTTCTTTTATTGGTTCTACCATACGAAGAGAAATCTGGGAGGAGAAACACAGAGAGTGAGTCGAGAGCAAGATGCCATATAGCTGCGGAGAAAGCAAGAGGTCCAGCATCACCATAAGCCAAGACCATGTGGAGATACAAAGATTAATTAAGAGAGAGCTAGCCAATAAGAAGCCTCAGCCACTGGCCAGACAGTTTATAATTAAGATAAGCCTCTGTGTGTTTATTTGGGACTAAACAGCTGCAGAACTGGGCAGGACAGAAACTTCATCTTCAACACACTTTCCTTAGAACAGCTGGACCTTGTGATGCAGAAGAAGGGAAGAAGGAAGCAAGGGCCCAGGAAGCCCATTTTAGGGGTTCGGCAATACAATGTATAAACATACAGTAGTTAGTGTAATTATGTTTGTGCATATCAGTATACATTTGTGTGGAAGCCAAGCCTGTAGACGGGGTTTAATGCTCTCGACCTTATTTTTGAGACTGCATCTCTCATGGCTGAGGGAACTAGGCAGCAAGCCCCAGGCAGTTTTTTTGTCTCCATCTTCCCAGTACTGGAACATAGGCACATGCCTCAATGCCACTGTATTTAATGGACTCTGTGTATCCAAAGCAGATTATTACACCTGTACAGCAAGCACTTAGTCAACTGAGCTATCTCCACCCCAAAACATACAAAAGTTTTAAGTGCTAGATTTTTTTTTTCCTCTCTGTCCTTTTTCCCCACACTACAGACCTCTCTGCTTTTTATCTGTATGACCTTTAATCAGAGTGACTGTAAATCATTAATCAGATGGTCACACATCAACTCACTATTTAGGTAATGCTTTGGGAATATCCTATAGGTCTATATGCTTTTCATATCAGGAAATCACATCCTGTAGACAGCATGATATTTCTTACCTCAAAGTCAACGTCTGAACAGCAGCTGCAGGCAACACACGGACCAACAACTTTTAGGACATCCTGCTTCTTCTCATTTTGAAGAGTGAACTTTGGCAGACAAGGATGCCAGGTCTGAGTCACATACCCTACTGGCACGCCAGGAGGAGCTTGGATTTCTATCTACAAAAGCAAGAGTCCATGTTGAATGTAACCATGGCCATACCACCCAGGTGTAATGCATTCTTCAAAAACTCTTATTGCACTTCTCAGTTGCTGCGGGAATGTCACACTGACCTCCTGGAGGCAGCAGGGAAAGCAACAGCTACTGCATCTCAGGGGTCTCTCCAGAGTCATGACTTCCTGGCCCAGATTATCCAGGATCCTCAAGGTGAAAGGTCTAGATGCTCCACAGCAGTTTCGGGTGCAGCAGTCAGTGTCTTCCACTGCAAAGTAAACTCTCTGCCCAAGGCTGTTCTTGATTTCATATTTGTTATTTGTTTCAAAGCCTGTTAAGACTGAAAACACACAAGGGAACCACATTGAGCACTTTGTTAGGAATAGTGACTCTCTCCTAAGGTAGCAGTGGGAAGGTGTGCCTGAGACTTCAGAGAGCAGCAGGAAAGAGAAGACAAGCAGTGGAGGTGATCTGGATTTGGGACATGGCAGTGGGAAAGGAGAATAGTAAGGTAAGGGGGAAAGATGTCCGTATGTGAGACTTCCTAAGGGAGAGAGATGCATTCCACCTCCCCAGACTCTGTCACAAGGGGCTTCTGTGTCAGTGTCTGTG